CAGAAAAAAGATAAGATAGGGTGGGTAGGTAATGTGGGGTACAGGCTAAGGACCTTAACCAGATAGTCCTGCCAGGCCCCAGAGCCTCTGCCTATTCTGGCCAATACCCAACACCCCACTTTTCCCATGTCAAGAGCTCTGAGGCAGACCCCTAATGTCCATGCCTTTGCATGGTTAGAAATTGGGGTTAGAGCTTTGCTAGAACAGGTAGTGAGGGCATTGGTTTAATTGTAAGAACCCAGCACTGTAACAACCTGAGCATCATCACAGCTACGTGCACTGGAGAATTCCCATAGGGACATTCCTGTGAAGTGGGTATTCCCAACCCAGGGGACAGAGAGGACCAGGAAGGTCTGTTCCCAGTCCCTTATTGATTCTGGTTTACAGAATCCCGATGAAGCCAGGCATGTATTGACCTGAGAAGCCAAAGCAGATTGAGCTGTCTGATCAGATGTCAGGATGAGATCAGGTGCCCACTGGTCCTCTCTCTGCCCACCTGCCAGCTTGGCCCTTCCCACCCCAGAGCCTAGGGGATTCAAAGCCTCCTCATTTGACAGATGAGGAAACTGAGGCACAGTTAAGTGACTTGCCCAAGTTCACTCAGAAGTCACTCATGCCTCATTCAGTCTGGGTAAGTAAATGGGCATTGAGGACGAAATAGACAGAAGAACCAGAGTCTGGTGACCTCATTGCTTCTGTCTGTCCCCCAACCCTGACTTGCTCTCTCGTCTTCTTTCTCTGTCCTTTACTTTCATCTCAGCCTTGCTTTCCCTACTGCCCTCAACTTCCCAACTTGTTCCATCAGAGAGTCTTCTTTTTTGGGGGGGTGGGGCGCTAGGTGGGGTTAAGTGACTTGCCCAGGGTCACTCATCTAGTAAGTGTTATGTGTCTGAGACCGGATTTGAACTCAGGTTCTCCTGAATCCACTGCACCATCTAGCTGCCCAGGGAGTCTTCTTAATAGCCTTCCCCCATCATCCTTCTGCATTCTCTGTGGAAATATCTTTGGGGTTTAGGACTGGGACTAAGGATGCTTGGGTCCTGTTTCTCACTCAGCCCCAATAGCTGGGTCCATTCCATAGGGGCAGGGTTCCCAGGGAAGTGAGAGGTCCCTGGGGCTGGGGAGATGAAGGGTTCATGACTATAAAGGATCATAGATTTAGAGATAGACTAATCTCCTGGTTGTTGTGAAGACAGAATGAGATAATATTTGCAAAGCACTTTGCAACCCTTATAAACACTAGCTATCACCATTTTAATAAATTTTAATTTTAAAATTAAATATTTTTAAAGATTAAAATTAATTAACATTTAAAAATTTTAATTAATGTTTATTGATGGACTGATTCACCATTTTACAGATGAGGAAACTGAAACCCAGAGAAAGCGATTAAGTCACTTCCCCTCCAAGTTCCCATCAGTAGTAAGTGGCAGAAGGAAGAGTTGAATCCAGGCCACATATCTCCAAATCCAGAGCTCTTTTCCCTGTGCCACATTGCTTCTGCTAGAAAACAGCGTGACACCGAGTCTAGCTGGCATGGCACCTCCCAGGGTGGCTATTGACAATTATGGTTCAGATGCACCGGCATCCCAGAGATGCTGCCTTATGGGGGAGGGAGGAAGGCTGGTGTGGTTAGTTGGACTTCCATCCTCTCCAAGTTTTAACTTGGGAACAACTTCACAGCCCTTGGCTAAACTCAGGACTCACCTGTCCCTTAGAGAAAAAGAGCCTTGCTTCATTTCCGTCTTTTTCCTGCTCCTCTGCCTCCTCTCTTCCCTTATGGGTTGGAAAGTGTTTGGGCTTCTGTGCTGTCCTGATAGCCCTAGCATTCATGTCCTGTCCTGTGAGTCCTCCTCTTGTTAGCAGAGGACCTTAGTATAATATATGAGTTGGAGAGAGGCAGTCCCTGTACTTAAAATATAGTAGTTTGGATATGTGTATATGTGCGCACATGTACACACAGAGGGAATTTTTGTTGTTGCTCAGTCATTTTCAATCACATCTGACTTTTTGGGACCCCATTTGGGGTTTTCTTGGCAAAGATACTGGAGCGGTTTGCCATTTCCTTCTCCAGCTCATTTTACAGATGAAGAAACTGAGGCAAACAGGGTTAAGTGACTTGCCCAAGGTCACACTAGGAAGTATCTGAGGCTGGATTTGAACTCAGGTCTTCCTGACTTCAGGCCTGGTGCTCTATCCATCCAATCACCTAGTTGCCTGTGCTGAGAATACATAGAACCAATGACCCTAGTCCAGTTCCCACATCTGGCAGGTTGGTTGCCCATATCCCTTCTATAGCCAGGCAGGGCAAAAAGTGCAGTTTGGGAGTTCCCTCGCTCCTAACTGGGAGATCCCAGCACAACCTCTAGCTTCCACCTGGTCGGTGAGGGGAGATATGGCTGTCCAGCTGCAAAGACCGCCTCGCTAAATATGGTGGGCAGGCCCTGGAAGACGGCTGGGACTCTGTGATCAATGGGGCACCCTCCCTGGGAGGTCTCCTACAGCTGCTTGCTGCTGGGGGTCACAGTCATCCAGCCGAGATGATTTTCCCAAAGGCTAAAAATAGGTAGGGAAGGAACAGGGAAAGGGCAGCTTCCAGTCAGGAACCCAGACCCTGGCATCACCCCACGGGACAGGAGCAAGGAGAGAAAACTGTGCTGGTGCCCTCTCTAGCTTCAAAGAGGAGATCAGAAGGAAGGAGGGATCCTGTATCTGTGCTTGGGGCATCAGAGAAGAAGCCGTTTCTGCCTGTTGTCCTAGACAAGGCAGGGAGGGGGGCAGCACACTCCTTGCAAAATAACAGAGCGGCCCTTGATAAGGAATCCATGAATATGGCTGATACTTTCCCCCCCCAATATGAGTCCCTGCCACAGCACGAGAGCAGCCTGAGAGGCACTTAGCAGAGGGACAGCTCTCCTTTGAGGTATGCATGGAGAAAGAAGGGAGGGAAAGCTGGTGACAGCTTCTGGAGCTTTGGGAGTCTGAGGGAGAGCATTCAGAAATATGCTTCAGCCTAGGGCGTAGGGGGTAGGGGGAAATTGTGAACTGAATGGACTCTTTGTTAGTTAAAAGACAAATCCCAAAGCCTGAATCAGCTATAGAGGAATTAACTGTTTTTTTGAGGTGGGGATTGGTGCTTTGCTTGGCAGATCCCAAGGAGTGCAGGTGACCCACTAAGTACTGACATCTAGCGAATGGGTCAGGCATTGGAAGATGATAGGGAAAGCTCGGTAATTCCCCACTGGTCACCCAGACCTATGGACAGACAGCCACCCCAACCCTAACCCTGCACTGAGTTATTGGGAAGGGGTGGAAGAGAGTATCCTCACAATCATTTGGGCATTATTATCATCCCCTGTTTATAGAGGAAGAAACTGAGGCACAGAACATGAAGCAACTTGCATCCCTAGGGAGGCAGTGGGGGCAAGAAGAGAGACAGAAGTGCCAGTGGCTGGGCCCCACCCCCTCCAATAGAATTATAGCAACCCCTTCCATGTAGAAAGCATTTTAAATTTGTCATTGCTCGTTCCGTTATTTCCTCATAGTAATCCTACAAGGCAGGTAAGAAAGGTGCTATTGTCTTTTATGGATAAGGAGGACTAGAGGGGGCGAGTTTAGACTCTGTCTTAAAACAGGGATTTTTTTTTTTTTGGCTAGTCAATGGGGTTAAGTGACTTGCCCAGGGTCACACAGCTAGTAAGTGTCAAGTGTCTGAGGCTAGATTTGAACACAGGTCTTCCTGAATCTGAGGCTGGTGCTCTATCCACTGCGTCACCTAGCTGCCCCTTTAAAGCAAGGATTCTTAACCTTGTTTATATCACAGACCCCTCTGGCAGTCCAGGGAAACCTTGTAGACCCCTTCTCAGAATAGTGGTTTCAAATGCATAAAATAAAATACATAAGACCACAAAGGAAGCCAGTTATATTGAAATACAATTATCAAAATATTTTTTAAAAATCCAATTTGTGATATAGTAATATAACTAGCAGCAGCCTAATATAACTACAGGAATTTTGAAGTAGCGATGAATATAAGTGATGTTTTGGGAGCTACAACAGCTGTAATTTGATAAGAAAAGAGCTGTGATTTCTATTGATGACAAAGTTGCAAATACTACTAATACTACTGTGGTTTGTTGCCTATATTTATCATTGAAAGATATGCTAAATTTCAGTTAGAGGTAAATGACAATAAAGGTGAGTTTTCCCCCTCATTTAAGTTCACAGACCCCTTGAAATCTACCCACGGACTAGGTAGTCTACAGACCCCAGGTTATATGAAATGGTGAAGAGTAAAGGGAGCAGAACCAAGAGAAAGTTGTATAGAGTAACAGCCACATTGTTTTAAGAATGATTTTTGACTAGGGGTAGCTAGATGGCATGATGGATAGAGCACCAGCCCTGGAGTCAGGAGGACCTGAGTTCAAATATGAACTCAGACACATAACACTCACTAGCTGTGTGACTCTGGGCAAGTCACTTAACCCCAACTGCCTCACAAAAAAAAAAAAAAAAAAAAGAATGATTTTGAGTGACTGGGTCATTTTGACTATTATAAATATACAAATTAAAAATAAAGGATGTATGAAGAAAGACACTGTCTGCATCCAGAGAAAGAAAAAGAAGTAGGTATAGAATAATTTTACACATATATACCTATTTGTGTCTAATGGTAGCCATTTAGCCAGGGGAAGGGAAGAAAAAAAGGGGGAAAAAAAGACATTTACATGATAACTATTATATATTTAAAAGGAATAGCCAGTTATACATAATAAATTTACAGTTTTATGTGCAATCACCTTTTTTATTATACTATGTTATCAAAATGCTTGTTTTATTCTATAAATTAAAAACTAAATAAATTTTTAAAAAAAGAAGAATCCCCGGCAGATCAGGGCATACATAGTTTAGCTGATGGCAAGGCAGGAACAAGACAGGTCTCCTGACTCTGAACCTTTGATTTTTTTTTCCATTTTAATTCAATTTTATTTTATTTCCAGGTCCACATCTATACCTCAATCTCTTAACCTGCACTCTGAGTTCATTCCCTTTCTATCAGGAGGTGAGTGACATGTTGCATCATGAGTCCACTGGATTGTAGATGGCCACTGTGTTGTCGGTCAGAGTTCCAAAGTGTTTCAAAGCTGTTTGTCTTTACAATATTTTTGTTATTGTATAAACACAGGTTCTGATAAACCTGTGATCTTTCCCCTAAAGCCTATTTCCTCTAGCCCCCAACAGGAGCCTAGATGCCCTTGGGGAATTTCAGTGGATAGTGGCCACAAGACCTCTGACCCCCATCCAGATGTGGGGAACAGCTGTCCAGAGGCATGCTTCTCACTCATGTCTCTCTGCTACTGCTGGTGGTCTCCTGTCAGGTGAGCCCTGTGCCTTCCTGCCCTTCTCCTCCCCACCCTCCACACCCCGGGCCCCTTTTTCTTGACTCACTATTCCTAGCATAGGTTCCTTTACCACTCATCTCTCCCTCTGTTCCTGTCTCTCAGCTGAAGGCTCCTTCTGCCCAGGTGATGGATTTCCTCTTTGAAAAATGGAAGAGCTACAGTGATGAGTGTCATTACAACCTGAGCCTACTGCCCCCTCCCACTGGTGAGGCACCCCTGCTCCAGGGTCACCTCTCCAGCATGACCCCAGGCCTTCCCTGGTTCTCAAGCTTTCTGCCCTGCCAGCCCCTTCAGGAAGCTGCTTGGCAAGGCAGCATGCATTTATTTTCTTTTAAAAATCAGCATTACAAGGGATAGCTCCCTAGTTAGGGGAATAGGGAGGGATGTAACTGGATGAAGATGACATTAAAAGTTTCATTCTTTTTTTAGTCATGTATGACTCTTTGTGACCCCATTTAGGTTTTTCTTGGCAAAGGTATTGGAGTGGTTTGCCATTTCCTTCTCCAGTTCATTTTACAGATGAGGAAACTAAGGAAAACAGGGTTAAATGACTTGCCCAGGTTCATACAACTAGTGCTGGATTTGAACTCAGGAAGAAGAGTCTTCCTGACTCCAGGACTGGCACTCTATTCACTGAACCACCTAGCTGCCCCCAACGTTAAAGGACAGAAACACAAATAAGATTTAAAAATAAAATAGGAAAAACATTTATTTAGCACCTGCTATGGGCAAGGAATCATGTGTAGGGCTTGGCTGTGGTATAAAAAATGAAAATGGATTCAATCCCTACCTTCAAGGAGTACAAGTTAGTAGGGCAGATAAGATATGGACACAAATGTTTACTGCACAAATTAGATCAGGATAAGTATAAAATCCCCAGGAATACTGTAAAGAAAGGAAGAAAGGCCCACACCTTCTGCATGCCCACCTTCTTCATCCAGGCTCCGAGTCTTAGAAGAAAGCAGTTTTGGTGGCTGTGGGGTCAGGGCTGGCTACGCCTCAGATGAAGAAGGTTAACAGTCTCAAATCAGGGCAATTGGGTGGGATGAGAATAAGGGGGTGCAGGGCCAGAGCCACCCCCTTTCTTCTCCTCTTTGTCTGCCCTGCCCCACAAGCAGAGCTGGTCTGTAACAGGACCTTTGACAAATACTCCTGCTGGCCGGATACCCTCCCCAACACCACAGCCAACATCTCCTGCCCTTGGTACCTGCCTTGGCATCATAAAGGTAAACTTTGGGAACCCGAGGAAGGGGCTGCAGGGGCATGGGCATGTTGGGTGAAAGGTCTCACTTGAGAGGGGCCTTAACCAATGCCAGTGTGCCCCCTCTTTCTAGTACAGCACCGATTTGTCTTCAAGAAATGTGGACCTGATGGGCAATGGGTCAAGGGGCCCCAAGGCCAGTCCTTGCGCAATGCCTCTCAGTGCCAGATGGACATCAGTGAGATCTGGTCACAGGTCAGTGGGGAACCTTGGCTGGGGAAGGTGATCAGCTGGGAGCGCCCAGATGAGGCAAGCTCTTATGATACTCTTATTTCCCAGAACAAGTCTGCTCAGATGTACAGCAGTTTCCAGGTGATGTACACCGTGGGCTACTCAATGTCCCTGGGAGCCCTGCTCCTTGCCCTCCTCATCCTGCTGGGCTTCAGGTACCTGGGGAAAAACGGCCTGGGAACATGGGGGGATGGGCAAAGCTCTTGGGGCTCTTATGGGAAAGAGCAAGAGAGCCTGGAAAATCCCAGGAGGCTGGGGAACTATGCCATATAAATGGCAGCCTCAGGTTTGCAAAATACATATATTATTTGAAGCTTACAAAAAACATTAGGAATAATGCTAATGATACTGCTATTGTGCCCCATTTACAGATGGGGGAACTGAGCCACAGAACTGTCAAGTGACTTGCATCTTTATGAGGTCTCAGGAACTCTAGGAAGTTTCCAGGGAGTAGTCTTGGGGTTTCTGGTTGTCACAGAGGTTCTAGGGGTGGAGAGATGGAGACAATGGGAGGATTAGGGGGGACAATGCCAACAGTATCAAGGAGAACCATGGTTCTGAAGTTCAGACCTAGATCTGGGTTCAAATCTCAGCTCTTCTACTTACTATCCATGTGACCCAGAGTTGGTCACTCTCTGGGCCTCTCTAGGCCTCAGTTTCCTTGCCTGTAAATTGAGGGGCTTGGGGGCAACTAGGTGGTGCAGGGGATAAAGCACCGGCCCTGGAGTCAGGAGGACCTGAGTTCAAATCCAGCCTCAGACACGTAACACTTACTAGCTGTGTAACCCTGGGCAAGTCACTTAACCGGATGCCTCACAAAAATAAATAAATAAATACATACATACATAAAATAAAATAAAATAAAATAAATTGAGAAGCTTGAATGACCAAAAGACATTCAAATGGAGGTGACAATGAAATCCTAAATAATGAATGAGTCAAAGAACAAATCTTTTGTTGTTATTCATTCCTATCTGACTCTTTGTGACCCCATTTGGAGTTTTCTTGGCAAAGATACTGGAGTGGATTGCCATTTCCTTCTCCAGTTCATTTTACGGATGAGCAAACCAAGGCAAACAAGGTGAAGTGACTTGCCCAGGGTCATCCAACTAGGAAGTATCTAAGGCCTGGACCTTAGGAGTCTTCCTGACTCCAGGCCAGGGCTCTATCCACTGCACAACCTCAGCTGTCCCCCGTGGGAGTTATAGGGTGAGAAAGCCAACAGAGGAGTTCCAGCGTTTGGAGGCACATTTGGGGGGACAGAGTGAAGAGTTAAGGAAGATGAAGCAGATATTAGAAGGGGTGGGCAAGGAGTCTGGAGAGTGGCTGGACATCCAGTTTGAAAGAGCAGGTAGGGTTCTTTCATTTCTGTTCTTCCCCCACAGCAAGCTGCACTGTACCCGTAACTACATCCACATGAACCTGTTTGCCTCCTTCATTCTCAAGGCCAGCTCTGTGCTGGTCATTGATGCCCTGCTCAAGACTCGATACAGCCAGAAGATCGGAGACGACCTCAGTGTGAGCATCTGGCTCAGTGATGAGGTCAGTGTCTCTGGCCCGGCCCGGCCCGGCCCAGACCAGCCTGGCCTAGACTAGCCCACGCTGGCCTTTCTCTCTCCTGACCACTCCTGTTCAGTCTCCTTTGGTGGACTATGATCTGTGCCATGCTCCCTACTTGTGAGTGTGCCCTGAGGCTCTGTCCTGGACCCTCTCTCTTTCCCTTGGTGACCTCATTAACTCCTCTGGGTTCATTTATCCTCTCTATGGAAATGACTCCCAGATCTCCATAACCAGTCCTAGTCTCTTGTGGAATTCCAGTCCCGTGTCACCAATTGTCTATGAGGCATCTCCAATCGGATGTCTTGGAGATGTCTCAACTCAACATGTCCAAAACAGAACTCATTGTCCATCCCCCAAACCATCCCTCTTTGGAGCTTCCCTGTTTCAAACAAAGGCACAACTATCTTTCCATTAACCTAGGTTTTTGTGGTAGGCTTGCACCTAGATTTCATGCTCCTCAATTCTCACCCCACATAGCCAATCATTTGCCAAATCCCACCATTTCTTTCTCCACAACATCTCCCAGATATACCCTCCTACCTCCTCTTGTTCCCACACGTCACTCCATCTCTTATTTGCCTTTGCATTGCCTATCCTTTATACCGGGAATGTTCTTCCTTCTCTTGGAATCCCGAGTTTCCTATAAGATTCAGCTCAAGCACCTCCTTCTGCATGAGGCCTTTACTGGTCCTTCCTGCTGTTAGTACCTTCCCTTCCAGTGTTACCTAGGATCTGCTTTATACATTTCAAATATACATACATAGACACACACACACACACACACACACACACACACATACACACACACACACGGCTGGGGAAAGGGGGAGAAAGAGAGTACGTATTGTCTTATTAACTAGACTGTAAGCACCATGAAGGCAGGGACTATTTCCATTTTGCCTTTATAAACCTAGTACCTAACCCATAGTAGTTGCTTAGTAAGTTATTTCTTGATCTCTCCCAAGCCCTTCCCCTCTCCTCTAGTCAGCCTAACCCCAGAATTCCTTCAATCCAAATATAACCATTCAATCAACAAGCATTATTAAGCATCTACTGTAAGCCAAATGCCATATTAGATACTGGAGATACCAATGAAACAGTCCCTGCTCTCATGGAGCTTACATTCCATTAGAATTGCTTCCTTTCCTTGGACCCTGATGCAAACCAAGAATTCTTACCTTTAGAATCTCTTCCATCCTCCCCTTCATATAAGAAGATCCAGTTCTGGGATCTCCTTGGCCCTCCAGGCCCCCCACCAACCCCCAAGCCCCAATTTCCTCTTTTGCCCCCAGCATTGCTGCACTAACTTCCATCATCTCTCTTTTCTGAGATCTACCCCTGCTCTGATCCCCAAGTGAGGGTCACTCCCACCCAGGAAACTCCAGCCCGGAGGGTGGGTATGTATAAAACCTGGTATGGGGTATCCGTGGTGCCCACTCCCATGCCAGTCTATGTGGCAGGCGGTGGCAGGATGCCGAGTGGCCACGGTGTTCATGCAGTATGGCATCGTGGCCAATTACTGTTGGCTGCTGGTGGAAGGGGTCTACCTGCACAACCTTCTGGTGCTGGCTGTCTTCTCAGAGAAGAGTTACTTCAACTTCTACCTGGTCATTGGCTGGGGTGAGCAAGCCAGGGGTAACTGGAGGGGGGTGGCCAGAAAATGGGCCATATGGCAGGGGGCTGGGAGCCAGGGGCTGGGAGATTGTGGTGAGGATTCTGCAGTGGTTGAACCCTGGCTTCCGCAAGGAGGGGGCCAAATTTTATCTTATCAACTGTCTCCACAGGGGCCCCTATCCTCTTTGTCATCCCTTGGATTGTGGTGAAATTTTTCTATGAGAATATCCAGTAAGTACCAGAAACTAATGGCGGATAGAGGTGGAGAGCAGAGGGAGAGGGACCACAGGCTTCTGGGAGATAAAGGGTAGGGAAGGTTATATCCTGGAATGGGTGAGGGGTAAAGGTAAATTCAGGAGACATATGTCTCCAGAGGGGGACCCCCCCGCCATGAGCTCTGCCTTAGGAGGCCTCTTGGGTAGGGTATCAGAGCTTTTTACCTACAGGATGGAATCCCTCTGCCCCTCCAATTTCTAGACTTCTTTTCTTTACCTAGTTCACTCTGGCTATATGCCTTTGTTTTTGTGTAGTATCTGGGTACTACAACTCTGGGAGTGTTGAAGTATGGTGGGTAAGCTGATGTCTCTGGCAGTGAAGGTGTTTGTGTGTGTATTTGTGTACGGGCAACTGAATCTCAGGCTTGAAGTGTGTGTGACTGTGAGTGTACTTGTGATTAGGTATGTGACTGTGTCTGTGCTGATGTCTCATTGGTCACCTAATGACAGCAAAGGTAGTGTCTGTTTAGTCCCCGAAAAGGACTGGTTTCTGCATGCATGTGTAACATCTGGTACTTAATTTCACCTTTAACCCTCCCCTCCAGCTGTGTCTTAGACTGCCTACCTATAAGAATGTGTGTCTCTGGGTCCAGTGCCTGTGGGAGGTAGGAAGTGGGCTATGACTGGTTATTGATTCGTCCTGTGGAATGGACTGGATCCATGTTTAATCGCTGCCGGGTGGAAGAGGAATGGGACCTGGAAAAGACATCTGTCACCCCCACAGACATTCATCCCTTTTCTCAGGTGCTGGACCAGCAATGACAACATGGGTTTCTGGTGGATCCTCCGACTCCCTGTCTTCCTAGCTATCCTGGTGAGTAATAGCATCCTCCAACCCTCCAATTGATTCTTTGCTTCTCCTCTGTCACTTTTGCTGATTTGGTCAATAATTTGGCTAGCCCGGGGTGGGGAATCTTCAGCTTCAAGGCCACATGTGGCCCTCTAGGTCCTCAAGTGTGGCCCTTTGACGGAATCCAAACAAGCCTGAAGGCCACATGTGGCCTCCAGGCCACAGATTTCCCACCTCTGGGCTAGCCAGTCAATTTGTCAGCTAGACAGCTGGCTAGTTGGTCAACCAATCATAAGATTGTAGAATGTTAGAGTTGGATGAAAATTTCCAGATCATTTAGTCTAAGCTCCTAAAATATTGATGAGAAAATGGGCTGAGAGAGGCAATCATATCAAACCGATTTCCAACTTCCCCATTTCCATCAACAATGCCATCAGCCATCAAGGCTTGACACTACAGAGTGATATTTCACGGGTCTCTCCTTCCCCTTCCCTCCTTACATACAATCACCCAGTCCTATCAATTCTTCCTCCAAGATGCCTTTCAAGTCTGTCCCTTCCTATTTCTACCGTCATGACTTTGTCCCATTCCTGGACTACTGAAATGAATACTGTCCTGACTGACCTTCTCACTATTAGCTTCTCATCTCCACTTGATCCTTACCCAATTTCAAATTCATTTAAGTTATTTTTGTATATTACATCCCTACTCAAGACCATACCTGCGCTAGCTCCCCATTACTTACAGATTAAAGTTCAAATTCCTTGTGTTCATTCTTTACAATCTTTTTTCATGCTATTCCCCAACTTGATACTTCCCCTTACATTATCCGTGTTCAAATCTTCTTTATCTTTGAAGGTCCTATTTCTATATGAAGCCCTTCATGACTACCCCATTCCCAACCAATCTTGCCTTAACTTGTCAACACTTACCATATCAATCACATACTGTCTTTGACAGTCAATCTTTTGGTTGGTCAAGCATCCATTTGGCCAAGTAATCATTAAACTGATTGTGTAGTCAGGTTTTCAGATGGTTAACCATTCAGTTGGTTAGTAGGTTAACTTGTCAGTTGATTGTTTGATCAGCTAGTCAATTGGTAGGTCAAGTTGGTTGGCAGGTCAGTTGGTTAGTCCATCAGTTGGTTGACCAGGCAGCCAATCAATTGTTTGGCAATTCAGTTCATTAGTTGGTTGGTTGATCTGTCGGTCAGCTGGCTAGTTTAAGCTCAAATATAAGCCATAAAGAAGCCTTTACTGACCTGTATACACAAGCAGTGCCCCCTTTTAAGTTCCTCACATTTCACCATTCCACTGTATATTTTATTTACTTTTTTTTGTTTTGTTTTTATTTTTTGTTTTTGCAAAGCAATTGGGGTTAAGTGACTTGCCCAGGGTCACACAGTTAGTGAGTATCATGTGTCTGAGAGTGGATTTGAACACAGGTCCTCCTGACTCCAGGGCTGGTGCTCTATCCACTGCGCCATCTAGCTGCCCCCAGTTGTATACTTTAAAGAGACTCATTTTACACTTCCTACTGTCTTCAGCTCTTCATTCTTCCTTAGCAACAACCCTTTTGTTTGGCTGATCAGTTGGCTCGTAGTTCGTGATCAGTCAGTTGGTCAGTTGCTCACTGAGGCACTTAGTTAGTCAAAGGCAGCTGACCATTTGGTCTGTCTCTCACCCCTCATATCCAATTTGTTGCCAAAACTTGTCGATTTTACCTTTGCAAAATATCTTGAGTACACCCCCTTCTCTCCTCTGACACTGCCCACCATTCTAGTGCAGGACCTCATCACCTCATGCCTAGACTGTTAAAATTGTCTCTGGTGGGTCTGCCTGCCTCAAGTCTCTCCTCACTCCAATTCATCCTCCATTCAGCCATCAAAGTGATTTTCCTAAAGTACAAGTCTAACCATGTTACTCCCTACTCAGTAAATTCTGGAGGCCCCCTCTTGCCTCCAGGATCCAATACAAAATTTTCTGTTTGGCATTCAAAGCTCTTCATAACCTGCCCTCCCCACACATATACATACCTTTTCAGTCTTCTTACACCTTACACCCCTACAAATTCTTTTTGATCCAGTGACACTGGTTTCCTGGCTTTTACATGAACAAAACACTCTATCTCTTGGCTCCAGGCATTTCTCTGGCTGTCCCTCATACCTGCAGCACTCTCTCTTCTCTGTTCTGCCTACCACCTCCCTCGCTTACTTGAAATTCCAACTAAAATCCTTTCTTTTACTAGAAACCTTCCCCAACCCCTCTTAATTCCAGTTTCTTCCTTCTGTTAATTACTGTTAACTTCTGTAATTACTCCCATTTATCTTGTATATAACTTCCTTTGCATATATTTGTTTGCATGCTATTTCCCTTACTAGATTATAAGCTCTTAGAAGGAAGGAACTTTCTTTGCCTCTTTTTGTATTCCCAACACTTAGCACAGTGCCTGGCACATAGTAGGTTCTTAAGAAATGTTTATTGATTGGTCATTTGGTCCAGTCACTCAGTTGGTTGTCTGGTTACTTGGTTAGTCAGTAGGCCAAGAACACCATTTGCTAGCTATCTTTCTATGTGTGGAAACACTACGATAAGTGTTATGTGGAGATAAGAAGACAAGATTCCAGCCCTTTTAAAATAATAGAAGCAGACATGGAAATAATATTAGAGACACCTAGGAGATAGAGAAGCCAGGCTGAATGGTCAGAATGCTAACCAAACCCTTTAGAAATAAAAAATTTTAATTAAAAAATAAGCCACCGAACGCTCCCTTCTTGTGCCATGGTGGTTTTACAGAGTGGAAATCTGTTCTGATTAAAGCAGTACAGAGAGAGTGGAGTTTCACAAGACACAGACTAAGTTAGAGAACTATGATTATTTACAGTTTTCAGGGAAGGGAAGGGAATGTACATTTCTAAAGAGCCAGGCACTATGCTTAGCCTCTTACAAATATGATCTCATTTTATCCTCACAACAACCTTGCAAGGTAAGTGAGGAAAATGAAACAAACAGGGTTAAGTGACTTGCCCAGGGTCACACAACTAGTAAGTGTCAAAGGCTAGGTTTGGTTTCGGGTCCACTGGTGTGGTTCCACCATCTGCCTCTTCCAATTTGCAGAATACTGCAAGTATCAGGATTGGGAATGGGGAGTAACCCACTTTCCTTTCTGAGTTGTGACTGCCCTTCTCTACAGATCAACTTCTTCATCTTCATCCGTATCATCCAGATCCTCATCTCTAAACTTCAGGCCCACCAGATGCGATACACTGACTACAAGTTTCGGTGGGTGGCTGGCAGAGTGTGGGTATATGTGAGTATGTGGGTGGAGATTTGAACGTGCACAACTTACTAGACCCCAGCTCATTGCCCATTCCTTGCCTTCCATGGGGACAAGGGGCTAATATAGTAGCATTAATGATTATATTGATTAGGATGATGATGATGATGATGATGATGATGATGATGATGATGATGATAGGGATGGGGAGTAGACTTTTGCTTTCATTGGTTTAGGGAACTTCAGAGAGAGAGAACTCTCTCAGTCATTGCAGGTCAACACCTTCTCTGCAACTTATAAGCTTAGAGGTGTCAAAGGCAAAGGTATCAAACATAAAGCAATGCAGCCCATAAAAATGTAATTGGGAAATATTTAACAAAATAAATAAAATTCAGTAAAACCTAGATAATACCAAATTTCAAAACTAAGTCTATCTGTGACCCTCTGGGATCCTTGTGTATGGATTAATGATTTCCATTTCTATTTGAGTTGGACACTACTGAGGTGCACTAGGGCACTAAGAGGTTAAGTGATTTGTCCCAGGGTCACATAACCAGCACATATTAAAGGTAGAACTTGAACCCAGGTCTTTCTAGTGTTGGGGCAAATCATCTACTATGGCACCCTACTTCTCAGCCACCACTGATACTACCTTCCACATATTTATGTAGCACTTCACAGCTTATTCATAGTGCTTTCCTCACAACAATCCCATAAGGTAGATAGTAGAAGTCTTGTTATTCTTACATTATAGGTGAGAAAACTGAGTTTTATAGACGTTTAGGAAGGTGCCAAAGGGTATAGCCAGTAAGTAGCGAGACCAGGGCAGAAAGACACTTATTAATATTTCAGGAAAGCATTCAGTCAACCCCAAGGTGAAGCTATTGAGTTGGGAGGTAGCTGCTGGGAAAGTGGGGAAGTCCAGGTATGGCTTGGCCTTTGGGATCCCACTCTCAGAAGGATGACGTCTAGATCTTTTCTGCCTGCCCAGTTCTACACCACTGTCCACAGGGTGTGTCTGTGGCTCCATCCTGGGAGTAATTTAGTATCCCTTCCGGCAGGCTGGCCAAGTCAACGCTGACGCTGATCCCTCTTCTGGGCATCCATGAGGTGGTGTTTGCCTTCGTGACAGACGAGCATGCCCAGGGCACCCTACGCTCCGTCAAGCTCTTCTTTGACCTCTTTCTCAGCTCATTCCAGGTGAATATGCCTCTTGATACTCAGAGCCCTAATGCCCCCAAGCATGAGGACCAAAGCCAATTCAGGACTGATGCTCTGTCTCCCCTGTCCTGGACCTGCTAGGGTCCTTTTCTCCAGAGAATCTATGCTGGTGACAATGGAGAGAAGTGGGTGCTGCTCCTCTCTCCCCTGATTTGGCTCTCTCTTCTACACTAGGGCATGCTGGTGGCTATTCTTTATTGCTTTGTCAACAAGGAGGTAAGTGTGACAGTCTCAATCTGGGGACTCTTTCCACTTTCCATGTCCCCTATGTGAGGCCAGTCTAAGTATCTGTATCCACCCTGATGGGTAAGGAGCCAGGGAGAACCAAAGGTACTAAGCTGAGCACCAACTCTGGCATCTCACCCTCAATCTGGGCGCTGGCCCTGCTATTTATCAGAATAGACCTTTCAAGTTCAAGTTCAAGTGGCTCATAGAAGGCACAGCCCATGAGAGATGGAAGGGACCTGAGCCCAGGCCCCTTGAACAGAAGAAGAAATAGAGGCCCAGAGAGAGAAAGACACTTACTCCAGTGATAGAATTGGTTACAATGGAAGAGCCAGGCCTAGAACACAGGTCTCCTGGTTCCTGTCCAGTTGTCTTTCCAATGCTCCAACATGCAATGGCTTTCAATAAGGTCCCAGCTCTGGCTTACTCTGACCTCACCCTCCCACACTGCCCTCTGCCCATGCCAGCTGTGCCCTTGTAAACAAATTCTGATTCCAATGAATACATGTCACTGTACACACTTGTGCCCATATATATTCCTGCTGGGATTATCTTCTCCCAGTCCCATGGTTGTGGTATAACATGTTCCTGCCTCTGAGTATATATATGTGAGTATGCCCAATCACTGTCCGGCAGGTTCAGGCAGAGCTGATGAAGAGCTGGCACCGTTGGCAGCTTGGGAGGGCTCTGGAAGAGGAGCATCGCCATATGTGCAGCCATTTGAGCACTGGCCGGCCTGGGTCCACCTGCCCAGGGGAGAAGCGTCAGCTGGTAAGCTGTAGCAGCACCAGCAACGGGGCAGGAAGCAGTCAGTCAAACGCTCTAACCCAAAGCTCCTACCTTGAGAAGACTGGGGCCAGCCCTAGTGATCCAGGCACTGAGGGCAAGGGAATCCACCGTTATACCTTCTCTGGGGTGGCAGAGAGCAACTTCTGAGCCTTCTGTGTCAGGGAAGGGCTTCTGGACCCAGAACCTAGAACATAGAGCCTGGAGCCTGGAAGCTGGAGCAGCAGGTCAGGAGAAAGAGAACACTGCCATCTGAAACCTAGAAAGCCAAGGTAGCCCAGCTAGAGAGAGAGGATATTACCCAAAGGACTGGGAGGCAGCATGGTGCTGTGAAAAGACCACTCAGTTCAGGTTCTTGCTCTGTGGTTAATTAGCTGTGTGACCTTAGGCAAATATTTTCCCCACTCTGAATTTTATTTTCTACATTTGTAAATGGACTAAGTGATTTCCAAGGTTCCCTTCAGCTCTAACACCTAGAGTTTAGAGTCTGTAGCCCAGAATCTGGAGATCAGTGTCTGAGGCTGAGAGAAAGCCTGGCAGATGGAGAGAGGAGGGGTAGGAGAAGGGAAGCCGAGCATGTGCCCTGGTACCCCGCTGCCTGGGTACCAAGCAATGCTAGCTGTACTTTCTGTGGTGTTCACTCTCTTCCCTGCAGAAAAGAGCTGACTCACAGAGAATGTGAACCAACACCTCTACATGGAGTCATATCTGTGTAGCAGTGTTAAAGGGATGGTGTGGTATTTAACCCCTCCCATTTTCCCCTTACCCTACTACTGACTTGTTGCCCTGACAGGTTTTCCAGTGTAAATGCTCCTTCTCTATTCTGGGAAGTAGTATCAAAGGATCTGTAACTCTCCATATCTTTTTGCTAGCTCCAAGTCCCCAGCCAAAGACAGTACTTCTGGCAAAACACTTCAGTGTTATATTTATCTGTGTGTCTCTCCTGGGGATGTTTCCTCCTCAGTAGCTTCCTCACAACTATATTCCCAATAAGTACACATTGACTAGCAGATGAGGGGATTAACATGCAAAAACAATATATTAACATAATTAAGGTAATTAACATATAAAAACAACATGTTGTCTTTATAAAGACAAAATAAAGGTTTAAAGCAAAGTAAACAGACTTTCCTCATGCCCAGTGAAAAAACTCTGGGCTCATGTGAAAGAGCTCAAGGGGATATAAGATTACTGCCTTGGAATCAGTAACAGTGAAGGTAGAGGTTTGGAAAATTGGAAGGTTCAGCAACACAGCTTTTGTCCGGACATACCTGTTTGCCCAAGCAGCTTCATTCCCAGAGTTCTATCCCCTTTCTTCATGGTGGTTGCCTCTATTCGTACTCCCACTCTCCCCAGCTCTGCATAGTTTCTTATACCATCTCTTTCTCCAGCTTCATGAGTCTTCTACTGGTCCCTTCACAAAATGGGGCCTTTCAAGACTATTTTCCAGACTCAATGAACTGACTTCTCAATGTCACCCAGAGGTGTGGCCTGTCATTCTTCATACTATCACGTTGCTTCCTTTCTCTGATTCATTCAAGGGACCTCATAATTTGTACCTCATAAAGGGATTGCCCAGCACAGCCAGATTTTTATGCCTAGTTTCAATACCACCGGCCCTTTTTCTGTGATTAATTCTGTGAAAGACCAACTCCCTTATCTGCATTCCTTCTTCCTTCCCTGATGCTGTATCAAACTCTGCCCCAGATCCCAGGAACCATCCAATTGATCTCTGCACAGTTGGGCAGACAATGTGAACCAGTCAGCTATGGGGAAGTAGATGGCAGATAGACCTTGCATACATCCAAGGAGAAGAAAGCCCTGGATTCCAATGAGCATTTAGGGATCAGAGCCAGGCCCATGGTAAAGGGAGGATGAGGGAGGGGGAGAGTCAATATGTTGTGTATGATGTCTGTGTGTGTTTTTATGCATGTGTGTTGTCTTCATGTATATGTTCCTGCATGCATGTGAGTTTGTGTATGCTGCAAAATAAATAACTCCCACAGTTCTTCCTGATCTGCACTTTCCTTGTTTTCCTGGGGATGAGGGTGGAAGGAGGACAAGGGATGGTGACTTAAGATGAAAAGAAGAACCTTCACTCCCTATTTCAGGTTAAAGTCAGATGGGTATCACTATAATATTACCAAGCCCAGAAGAGTAGAGCAGAGGCTGACAGCGGGGGCCCATGCCAGGCTTCACTCAACAGCCTGGATCATTGGGGAAAAGGAGAAACAACTGCAGTGCCATGGAGGTGGCATCAGCTCCTGCCTCATTAGTGTCCCTTCCATAATGTTGGAGATGAGGAGCCTAGAAAGAAGAATATCAAAGATGGAGGGACCTCGTAGGCCAAAGAGGGTGAATGAGGATGTGGAATGTGTAGAAAAGGCCTTCAGGGCTTCAGGGACTTTGCCAGACAGATGCACCAACTTTCAGAAATAGCTGGGAGGGTCCAGTTTGTGCACCCCTGATTTGCTCCTCCAGAGAGACTGACACTAAGGTTGCTGTTATTGCTGCTTGTGCCACTGAGTTGCTGGACCAAAGCGGACCATGGTTGGTGAGCTAACCCCAGGACACTCAGAGACAATTTCCTTCCCCTATGACTCTGCCTCTGCCTCACTTAAATCCAATTCGAGCAGGAGGCAAGACATTACTCGTGCTGTCACTGGTGTTCTTAGAAAACTAAGGACAAACAACAGTAACAACAAGTTAGGAAAGGAAACAGTCTGCCTCCCCCTCTTCCCTATGAAGGAAACAAGCAGAAAAACTTGATTCCTGCTCCGGCTAGCACCTGGCCTGGAGCTGAAGGCCCTCCCCACTCCAGCCCATCCTCCATCCATCCATCAAACTGCTCTTCCTAAAGTGCAGGTAGGATCATATCACAGCCTCATCCCCCCAATTCAATTAACTCCAGTGGCTTCGTATTAACTCCAGGATCAAACAGAAAATCCTGTTTGCCTTTTCAAGCCCTTCATAACCTCACCCCTTTCAACCCTCCCAGTCTTCTCTCTCATACCTTACTCCCCTCCATATACTCTGAATTCTAGTGACATTAACCTGCTTGCTGTTCTTCCAATGAGATGTTCCATCTGCCTATAATCCAACACCTGACTCCATGTAATTTCACTACGGAATTCTCTCCCTCCTCATCTCCACCTCTTGGCTTCTTTCAAGTCTTATCTAAAATCCTAACATCTGCAAGAAGGCTTTCCTGATCCCTCTTAATGCTAGCGTCTTCCCCCTGAGATTATCTCCAATTTATCCTGTATTTACCTTGTTTGTACATAGTTATTTGCAAGCTCTCCATTAGACTGCAAGCTCCTTGAGAGCAAGGACTTTCTTTGTACCTCCAGTGTTTAACACAGTGCATGGCACACAGTAAGTGCTTAATAAATGCCTGTTGACTTGACTTGACTTGCTTGGCTGCTCATAGGTCAGTGAACAGTAACTCCACCCCCTTAGTGCTCTGTTTTTTAATTGCCAGCATGTATTTCCCCTTCACATAAAGAAAACTGGTAGCCACTAATCCATCTTGTGTAATTAATAATAGCAGCAAGAATAGAGATTTGGGGAGAAATGTGTGAGTCTGGATAGAGAGACACATCCCTCCTCAGTATTAAATGGGGAGATAATGAAGGTAGTGAACTCCCACTGGAGGTCACAAACACTTTGGATTTACTTTGCACTTGTATTGCTAAGCCAGCTGAAGTTGATTTCCAGAAGATATTGAAAGCAAGGAAGGAGTAATAAACTAAAGTGAATTTTTAAATACCCAGACTTTTTGAAGATAAGCCCTTTCAGGTGAAATGAGCTAGGATGCAGGAATAGGGGTGTATATTACCATGTGTATCATGTGGGTCCCCTTTCCAGACTATTTCCTGGCGTTGCATGAGAATCTCCCCTTTTCTAATATGCCCCCCAACTTATTTGTGGGTGAGGATTTATGTTAAGAGGGATGCCCTTCACCTATTAGCAACATTTCTCTCTCTCTGTCTTGACATATATATATATATATATACATATATAATATGAATGTGTATATAAGTATATGCACATTTATATGGATGGATAGAGATCACATATATCACAGAAGAATGTCTAATAGAACTCAGATTGAATTCTCTTCTCACATGTCTCCATACACTCTCTTTCTCCATGATTTTATTAGCACTCTTGGATTTAATTATCAATTCTACAAAAATTATCCTCAGATCAGTATACCCAGCCCTAATCTCTCTCCTAAGTTCTAATTCTGTATCATCAACTGCCTATTTTTGAAACTAGGTGTCCTGTAGGCATCCCAAATTCCTCATGTCTAAAACAAATCTTCTTATCTTTCCCCTTCTTTATAACTTCTCGATTTCTGTTGAGGGTACCACCATGAGTCCCTTGGGTTGGTGACTTTGGAGTCATCCCCAACTCCTTCCTCCCTCTTTCTCATTAGATTAGGGATCTAATCAATTGCCAGGTTTTGTCAAATATCCCTCACATCTGTTCCCCTTTTTTTCTACTCACAATGCCACTACACTATTCCAGGCTCCACTCATCACCTCACACTTGGATTAATTCAATAGCTTCCTAACTGCTCTCACCTCTCTAAGCCATCCTTCACACAGCTGCCAAAAAGACATTCCTAGAGTATAGATCTAATTAGGTCATTCCCTTGCTCAATAATCTCCAATGGCTCCTTATTGCCTCTAGGAACAACTACCTCTCTGACTCCAAATTAACTTCTCTTTTCATATACTCTTCTGTTCAGCCGAATGGGTGTTCTTGCTCTTTCTCAAATTACAACACTCCATATCATATCTTCCTGCCTTTTCACTGTATGTTGCCCATGTGTAGGATGTACTCCCTTCTCACCTCCATCTCTTATAGTCTCCAGCTTCCTTCTAAAAAAGTGTCACCTTGTAGATGAGGTCTTCCCTGATCCTTCCAGCTGCTAGTGCCTCCCCAAAGAAATTACTTTGTATTTATTGTGTATATATTATGTATGCACATATATGCGTACATGGTGTTCCCTCCACAGAATGTAAGGACAAGAGGATAAAGGCTCTTTCTATTTTTATCTTTGCACCCCCAATACCTAACACAGAGATACAGAGACAGTGACTGGCACTTAATAGGTCCTTAATAAAAGTTTGTTGTGATTGATCCAGACATCTGGTAGAACTTTCTTCAGAAAAAGCAGAGCAGCTAAAAACATCTTGACTTGCCTTAATGTTAACTTTATTCTTTAAAAGTTGGAGTAATCAGCAAGAGGAAACTCTATACTGGATATGATTTTCACCAAATGGGAGAAACTGTTTGATGGGATAGAAATGATGGGAACTGCTCCATTGTAGAATTGCAACACAGAAGAAAAAGAAAAGCTAGGCGTAATCTAATATATATCCAAAATTTTTTTTAAAAAATGAATTTCAAAGAGTTTAGAGGAAGTATGGGTAGGAACCCATGGATTTCAATTCTTCAAGTTAATTCAGCCCAGGAAAGAAGAGAAACTCTCAGGAATGAAATCTGATGATATAGTGTTGAATAGTGAAAAAGGTGCTGACTTTAGGCTCAGATCTAAATTCAAATCCTGCCACTTAACTTCTCTGGGCCTCAGTTTATACATCTGTAAAATGAGGGGAAGACAAATACAGTGAACTATGCATGTAATCCCTGCTACTCATAAAATGGGAGGAAAATGAGGGCAGTAGACTGAACTCTGAAGTTCTAAGCTACAGCAGGCAAAGTGGATCAGGTGTCTGCATTAAGTCTGGCATCAATATGGTGAGCCTTGGGATGGGGGGGGAGGCAGGTTTTGTATGGGGAGATGAACCAGCTGAAGCGGGAAATAGAGCAGGTTAAAGTCAATCAGTAGGGGATGTGGCTTGTGAGTGGCTATTGCATTTCTAGCCTGAGAGAGAGGAAGATCCAGTATCAAATAAATAAAAAAATAAAGGAAAGGAGTTGGGATAAATGAGGTTCCTTTCAGCTCTAAAGTAGTAATCTAATCTAATATCCCAATGAGGAGGAAAAACAGGAGTTGTCTGAAGAAATATGGGTGTATAGGAAGCTCACCAACCAACTTAACTTTTTAAAAGATTTATAAAGAACATGGAAGCAAGGTCAGCTTTGTCGTTGTTGTTCATTCATGTCTGACTCTTCGTGACCCCATTTGGGGTTTTCCTGGCAAAGACACTGGAGCAGTTTGCCATTTCCTTCTCCAGCTCATCTTACAGATATGGAAACCGAAGCAAACAGGGTTAAAGTGACTTGCCCAGAGTCACATAGCTAGCTAGCAAGTGTCTGAGGTCACATTAGAATTCATGTCTTCCTGATTCCAGGCCCATGCTCTATCCATTGCACCACCAGAGCAGCTAACAGAGCATAAATATAAGAGCACAGTACAATCTTGTAAAAATAGTGTCTGGAGTGCTAATACTCCGAATTGAGCTCAGATTAGCAAGAGAAGCCAAGGTCAACATAAAACGGTATTTTTAAACCATGGTGGGAAAAAGAGAAGGACCATAGAAGGAATAGGACTGGGGTAGATAGGAAGATGATAACCATCGATAGAGAGAAAGAATAGCTATTTAATTCTTATTTTTTGCTTCCATTTTCTCTCCCAAGGAAAATCATCTTTGCCCTAGAAATGGCAGAATAGAAATAGCCAGTGAAGAGTTCATACCCTAGGTAAGTCAGGAGATAATAAGAAAAGTGGCTAGGTACCCTTGAGGAATTCAAGCCATCTGGCCCAGAAAGACATTTTTGGGTGCTGAAATAATGGGTAGAAATGATTACTAAGACGTTGTCACTGGTATTTGAAAGAGCATATGAAATGAGAGCTATACTCCAAGATTAGAGAAGGACAAACATTCCAATTTTTAAAAGGGGGAGGGGGGAAGAGAATAGAATCTGCAAATTATAGACCATTAGCCTTGACTTAAATCCTGGGAGAATTCTAAAAAAGTCATTTAAAAGTTAGCTGGTGAAAATCTAGAAAGGGAAGCAATAGTTATAATATAAGAACC